GTTTGTATACTTTGGAGAACAGAAAAATTTTTTAAAATAATTCTATCTTAAAATGCAGAGCTGAATATGGTGGCACATGCCTGTAGACTCAGCATTTTGGAGGCTGAGGCAGGAGGAGCACTGTGAGTTCAAGGGCTGCCTGGGCTACAGAGTGAGTTCAAGCCCAGCGTGAACTACACAGTGAGACACTCTCTCGAGAAATGTATTTAATTTATCTGTTTTCTGTTATTACACTTTTATTTATATACCTATGAATGCAAAGTCACAAGACTTTACTTTCTTCTCCTGCTTTCTTTAGCCCCTCATTTAGGTTTAGAAAGCACTTTGGATTCATTTTTGCATATGCTGTGATAAGAGGGGTCTAACTTTGTTCTTTTGCTGTGGATGCCTGGTTGTGCGAGCACTATTTGTTGAAAAGATTATCTTTCCTCATTGAACTGTGTTGACCCTATAGTTGAAAATCAATGGGCCATGAATGTAAGGATTTATCTCTGGACTTTCCTTTCCATTCCTGTGGCCTACAGGCCTGTCCTTTTGCCAATACCCCGCTGTCTAACCACCACTGCTTCATAGTAAGTGTGAGTCTGCCAACTTTGCACATCTTTCTGACTAGTTGAGTTTTTCACATTTCCATGAAAATTTCAAAATTAGCTTGTTAGTTTCTGGGGGGAAACGGGCATCTGATAATTTGATTTGTAGTGTGTTAAATGTGTAGATCACTTGATATTAAGTTTTCCAACTCAGGAACATGGAATGCCTTTGTTTATGTAGCTCATCTTCATTTCTTTCACTTTTATCTTATAGTTTTCAGTATACATCTCACAGTTCTTTTGTTAAATGTATTCCATTGTGGGGAATTGTGGTAACTTACAGAATAGGCCAAAACTACAAGTACAAAGTCTATAAAAGACATGAATGATACAATTGCAAAATTAAAACAATAGATACACAGGGAGCTCTCTAACCAAAGATTACAGAGCATGCACCGTTTCCAGGGCAACTGGCCAGGTGTAGTTGTCTTGTGAAACACAGTGAGGCAAATGCTCCAGCTTTGTTCCTCAAAGTTGCTTTAGCTTATCTTGGTTATTTACGGTTTTCTGAGGGTGTGAAAATCACTTTGCTAAGTTCCAAGCAACAACACGAGTGAGCGGACCAGGTTCTGGGTGGCCCTCGTGCCCGCCCTGAGGCCGGCTGGCATCCACACAGTCCTGACGCCAACTCCGCCCCCTGAGGACCAGCTCTGCTCCGGAGAGCTCAGACTACTCCCCACAGCACTTCGCGGCACACTGGGGCTGAACTTCTTTCCTTATATTTATGCATAAATCTTACAGGCAAGCAGTTCCTAGAAATATGATGGTTCAATTTGCTTCTGGTATATAAAAAAGCTACTGATATTTATATACTGACTTTGTGTATTGACTTCGCAGAGAACTCCGAAATTAATTTCTCAACTATGTTTAATGTAGTTCTTTGAGACTTTCTGTGTACACAGTCATCTGGCACGTGAATAATGACAGATCCACGCTCTGCATTCCTGACCGAGGGAGGAGAGGTGAGCGTGGGCACAGAGACGCTGGGGGCAGGACAAGACCCCACAGACATTCAGAAGCACCAGACCAGCCGGAACATGGGCACAGCTCACCTGAAGACAGCTTCCTGTTCTTCCTGTTGCCAGGAAGTCAACGATCCCGAGGCATGAATTCTGCCTGCATGGACTCAGGGCTGTGCACCCAGGAGAGCACCGCACTCTGTCCTCTCGAGGCCAGCAAGGACAGGGCCTCCTCGGAGGACATGGCCAATGTTTCCCCGATGCCTATGTAAAGCCTGACTTCAGTATCCCCCCTGGCGATCTGCAAACTGGGTAGGGGCGGAAGAGAGGGGGCCACGTTGTGTGCAGGGTCCTGGGGGACTTCTGGGGGAGGCGAGCTCGTCCCTGGCACTGTACCTCACATCGGGAGCAGAATGCTGCCCCCACGTCCTCACCCTCACTCCCCACACACTGCCACCCTCCCTGCCGGAGGAGAGTTACAGTTCGGCAGAACATGCAAAACTGTTTATTTTCCTAGGACTTTGAAAAACAGCAATTAAAACCATTCCCAACACCTTGAAAATTAATTAATTCCTTTCCAGTTAGGGTGCTAGCCTGGTGGAGACAATAACCTCATCCTGTTAATATACATGGGAATATCAACTCATTATTTCTCCATATCTACCTGCTGTATCTATCTTTATTTGGACTGTTACAAAGTAGTCACTGAATTGTGTGCACCAGTAAATGCATTAACTCAGTGCAATTTCACGGAGATTTATGTAGCTGCAATGCTGAATATATTAAGTTCCCATAAAAGCTTGGCGTTTGGGTTTGTTCTTTCCAAAGACCTTCTGGGGTACATTTTCAACACGGAGAGCAATTGGCAGGAAGCAAAATCAATGGACTTAAATTATTAAAATTCTGAGCAGTAGTTACAGATTGGGTCAAATATCGTGAAACTCAGTCCACCAATTTACTTTCAATATTAATCTGAGCCTTGAGCCTTGTGCCTTGCCACGAAGACCGTGACAACCAAAAGCACGAAACATCTACTACGGCCGACACAGAGGGGAGCAACTGAGGTGCAGAGCCCAGCCCCCAGGAGATTTACGAGTGAGGACGGCTCTCTCAGGTGAGCAAAGCCTGCACTGCAGATGCCCGAGGCCACCATGAAAACATAAATGGTATCAGGTTATTGATTTTTTTCTTCCTGGAGCCCACAAATTAGAAAAGTCACTACGGAAAATCACTAGTCCATCCACAAATTTTAATTAAAGCATAAATAAATCATTTGAGTTGTGGCACTTGCATGTAAACAAAAGGAGAGATGGCGTCCTGACAAGTGCTTGTCAACACGGGTGACTAATGACTCTCAGAGAACGCCCGATCTGAGGCGACCCAACTGAAAGCAGATCCTGAGCTAACACATATCACGTGCACGCCATGGAAAGCAAGAAGCGCTGAGACCACAGGCCGGGCTTCGGGGAGAGAGGGTATGGGGCAACTTTGTTAAGTGGAGCAATACTGTCTTTTTATTGAAGAAAGTGAAGCCCTGTGAGACTTTACAGCTGTTGCCCTTCACCACCTGCACAATGGAGAGATGGATCCCACACTCCGAAAACCCTAACCACACCCAGGAGACAGGAGCAGATCCTGTTCCCAAGTGAATGCAGGGAGGACCGAGAGGCACAGACCTCGGGAGAGGAAGCTGAGGGCGGACACTCTGAGCAGCCCACACTCACTACGTCCACGAGAGGAAACTGAGGCCGAGAGAAAAGGATTCCCGGGGATTCCTGTTCCAGCCCGGGAGAGCCCTCTGCCCACTATGGGAACCGGGGGCTGCCAAACGGTCGGTGCCAGGTGCCGCTGCTGCTGCCGGAGAGACAGGGACTGGCGTCCTGGCCAGTGCAGCGAGGCACATGGGCGTCACCTGGCGAGCTCCGCGGCCAGGCCAGGACCCAAGGAGGCGGAGCCTTCGGCTGCAAACCACATTTGCCAAGTGTAGAAGCAGACATCGAGTCTGTGCTTCCTTTCCCTCGCTTCTCCTTCTCTCCTCCCTTCCTTTCCCCTTTCCTTGGTACTTTATTCTTCCTCTTCTTCCCCGCTTTCCTCCCTCCTTTCCTTCCGCCCATCGGCAAACGCTCTTCGCGTTCTCACTCTACACCGTGCCTGCTGCAAGTCATTTTAGGACACAAAAGCACAAGTCTCTGCCCTCAGGAAGGATTCGCAAGCTAAAATTCTTGGGCACGCAGTACGAATTTTAATAGCAATGCCCTGAGCCTGGGGACCCTGGAGGGCAAACTTGGCCCCAGAGGGAGAGATGGTAGATAGGAGGGCCTCACAGGATGGCAACATTTGGGCCGGCTCCCATCACACACACTGTGCTTGGAGAGGAAAAGATTGGAAACATCTGGAACTGAATCTCTTGTGTGCAGAACCTGTTCTGTACCACTTACTAGGAGCGGGACACCCTTACTTAGAACAAAAATCAGCCAAACAATAGCAAGTGCATGGAGAACCAGCCTGGAGCCAGGCCACCGGGCTGCGCGTCCCAGCACCACCGCCTCCTCACTCGGAAGAGAGGCAGGTCCAACACCGGCTCCCTGAGGCCATTCTCTCAAGAAGCAAACAAAGTCACCACCCAGCAAGGTCTTAACTCAGTGCCCAGCGTGTGAAGAGCACTGTACATCACGCGTGTTAAGCTGCCGTGATCGCTGTCTTCCCGGTGCCAGACGTTCCCTGGACACTGATTACACCCCAGTTACCAGTGGCGACAGACAGAAGTCCCGTCCCACCCCAGAAGACTTGCCTCCTTCTCGTGTGGACGGTGCACACCCCAGGGGTCTGCTCTCTCCGCTCCTCAGACCGCCCCCCTCCTTTGTTCTCTGTGGGAAAGGCAGTACCGCCCATCCGCCAGCTGTCCCCCAGAGCTGTGGTCACCCCTCTGGTCTCCCTCACCCACAATCTCACAGAGCCTTTCATGTCCCGCTAAGTGACCCAAGCCCCTGCCACCACCTCCCGACACTGACTCGGGGTGTCCCGTTTGGCCATCAGGCACCCAGCCCCAGAGGGACCCCAAGCGGGATCCAGCTGCAGTGCCCCAAGTGGAGCCCTGCAGCCTGTGGGGTACACAGCCCAACCCGAGACCCAGCGAGCCCAGCACCCACACAGCGAGCAGAACGGAGTGCCGCTTGGAACCGCTCCCTCCTCCGTGTCCACTTCCCTCCAGACGGCGGCTGTGGTCCCCAGCCTGCCCTGGCCTCCCTGTCCCTCCCACTGTCCACTCGAACAAGGCCAGTGCCCCTCCTGGGCCCTTGCCCTGGCGGTGGGAGGGACAGTCGCAGCCCAGACACAGTAGGAGCCCTGTAGACAGTGTGGGGCGTATGCGGGCATCACGGACTGGGGCACATGTGCAGTGCACCCCGGTTTTAGACATGACCAGGGAGAAAGTACCGCCGGTCGAACTTACCTGTGAGTCCTGATCCCTTTGCTCTGTGGACGTGATGGCGGGACAGACGGCTTCCCGGGCTCAGGGTGCCTCGGCCACTGTCCTCCTCACGGCTTCACCGAAGTGCAGTCTGCACAGCTCAGGCCTGGGGAGAGCCGGCTCCCTCGGCAGCGCGTCTGCAGGTACCAGATAGGTCCATAATCATCCTGGCCTGGTTCCGTGAGTGCCCAGAACATCTAGGCCTAGGTCCGTCCTCAGCACCACAAACAGCAAGAGGGTCCATTGCTGCAGCTTTGCCCAGCTCAGGGTCCGGGCTGGCACAGCCTGCCCAGCATGACCTGTGGGCTCACTGGGCAGCCACACCTGTGTCCTCTGAAGACCCGGCCTCACCGGCTGCACCCCACCCTGCTGCGTGGCTCTGGAGGAGGGTGGCACCGGGCTCAGTCTAAGGACGGGGCTGCGGTCACAGGAGGAGGAAGGGCACAGTGCAGGGCCACAGTCTCAGCACACAGGCTGCATGGTCACCACAGTGGCTTCAAGGTAAACCAAAACCAAAGCCAAACAAGGGAGCCCAGCCCCACTGGATGAAGACGGTCGCAGTCTATGCACAGCAAGGGTGACGGGCGTGGGTGCCTGGTCACGGCTGTCACTGCAGAGAACCAGCCAGACCTGGTGGAGCCCGAGGTGACCCCGATGTCTGTAAGTCGTGGGTCTCATTCTCCATGCAGCCATGGTTTTCATAGCAACTGGAACACGCTGGACGCCAGCCTGACCAGGCATCGGATTTGCACCAGCGAATCCCAGCTCCGGGAAGAGGCCAGTGAGTAGCAGGCACTCTGACATGTGTGGCCGGGCGTGCGTGGCTCTTCCATGCCCCCCTCTGCCCAGATGGAGACGTCCTCTGTGCTCCCTCAGGGCGCCTCCTCCTGTGCTGCTCTCTCTCTGGCTGCCCGTCCATCTGGTCTGCAGGTAGCTGGGAAATGAAAGCAGCCATGCACGTGTGAGTTAGAGCCATCCTCAAGCCTAGGTGACCACAACCTCGCCCCGGATCCCAGCTGTCTCCTGAGCTCCACGCTGTGTTGGGAGCCTGGAAGACAGCTGCTACCCAGTTCCGGCATCTTCTGCTCCCAGGTGTGGTGCGCGGCTGGGGCCCCTCAGGGACACCTCAGGGCAGCGCAAACTTCTGGGAGTTCTCGCAGCCCCTCTGCTGGCTGCTTCCATTGTCACCACACCTGCTTGCTGGACTGCAAGCCTCACCCCAGGACGACCAGTGCCTTCTGAGCTCAAGCAGCCCACAGAGAAGGCCCCTTGTGGCAGGAAAGCGCCCACCCCTGCCCTGGCACCCACTGTCCAGGATCAGCGGGACTGACCCTTGGTCAAGGAGAAGTCCCAGAGCAACCTCGATCCCAGGGTGGAGAGGCGGCAGGAGGCTGGGACAAGGCGCTGGGGTAGAAAACCAAGACCAGCGCTTAGAATGACCACGTAAGTCTTACGTGTGATGAAGCCGAATCACGACAGGAACCACTCTCGTTCTGGGGACCCTGGAGCTCTCCTGCGCCACTGCTGCTATTCCCTACCCAGCTGTGCTGCAGGACTCCCTCCAGCCTGTGAGGCCGCGCCCACCCAGTCCTCCACCGTCCACACTGCCCTCGGGCGTGGGCAACCAGCGGGTGGAGGTCAACGCCACAGAGGCTGGGGTCCCCTTGACAGTGCTCTGTGGCTCCTCCACGTGGGGCGACCTGGGTCCACTGCAGGGGGCCCTCCCTGGCCCTGTGCCATGGTCAGTGCTGAGCAACAGTGACCCCTGCACCGCTCAAGGCACAGTGGAGACGGATGCTGCCCTCGAACAGCCCACAGGCTCCCACTTGGCCGCCTCTCTGATCCTCAGTCTCCACTTCTGTGAAACAGGAATTAACTAGGCACGGCCTCCGCGGGGCTCCTGGGATGCTGGCGCTGCCCACCGCTGTCGGGGAGCACAGGCCGGACAGCCCCGGACCCCAAGTGCGCTTCTCATCATGCTAACCCTCATGAGAGGTGCTAGTGCCACCTGCACCTCCAGAAGTGACAGAGTTAAGGCCCAGAGAAGCCCGCTGATGCCGCAGGCAGCCCCACCGGTGAGGTGGAGCTGGCTGGGTCCCGGGAACCCTCACTGCACACCGAGGCTTCAGCCCCGTGCTCACCTGTGACACGGCACGGACTGCAGAGCTCAGCTTCCCCGAGCGACGCCCTCCCTGGCACAGGGGAGCTGTGTGGGCCTTGTAGCGTGGGTTTAACAAAGACTGCGAGTGCTGAGCCCTGGACTCTGCTTCGAGTCTGTTGAGCGATTTGCCTGGACTGAGCCACCAAGTCCACAGGCTCTGAGGCGTGCACCTCCAGGGTCCCCGGGACCTGCCTTGGGTTCTCTCTGGTCTGACCCCTGAGGGTTCCCCTGGGCTGGCATGAGCCCCCTCTCATGAGAGACATCACCTCAGTAGCTGGATTTCTTTGTCTTTTGCCAGTGGATGAGCGGGTGGCTCGGCTCCTCTCACAGTGAGAGTGGGTCCCCCAGGCCCAGCCTGGGTTCCTTCTCGTACCCTGCAGAGCCGGGAGGATCAGCTGGCACTTTTAACCTTGGTCTGCTTGGTCCAGGCCACTCATTGCTCCGTCGGTGAGAACCTTTGGTGCCAATGGTGTCTGTCTGTGTCGCTAGCTCTGCATGCAGTATGGAGGACACTTCCAGTTGCCCCCTTCCTGCCCTCGCCACCCCAAGTAGCCCAGCCCAGCACCTGGGCATAGCCCTCCTGACCTGGAACTGACCACAGCCCCAAGGTCCTGGCTGTCTCTCTTCTGGTTCTCTCTGCCCAGCGTCTTGTAAAGGGGCACCACCAGCTTCCTCTGAATCGCTCTCCACTGAGACGTGGACCGTTTTCAGCGGTGGCTGAGGCATGGAGTCCCTGCCCATTCCAAGCAACACTGGCCCCTGGCAGTGCAGTGGGCTCTTCATCCTGAGATGGTCTATCATGGGCTCAACCACCGTGCCACTGAGGGGCATGTGAACCAACCAGGGCCAGCCCAGGTGGGGACAGGAGGCACCGTGTCCTCTGGCCAGCAGAGTCCCGTCTCAGGAGGCAGAGGCGGTGTGGTGGAGACTCGCTCTCTAGGGCCACGCAGCGGGGCTCTTCAACCAGCACAGGGCAGGCACAGCGGGCAAGGCAAGGAGGACCCAGAGCCCCCAGACCTGTGCAGGCGTCCATGCCTGAGGGTGCGACGGGCCTGGACTCACGCTCTGATCCAGAATTACCAGGGTTTCTCGGGGGAATCTTTCTCCACGTGCTGCATGCCCTTAGGACAATTTTCAGAAACTTAAACGATTGCCATTCATATTCGTCACCAATTAAGTTGTTTTCAGGGTAGAGGCTACCCAGATGCTCCTGCTGCCATTCGCCATGTGGCACGTCTTGAACCCACATCCTCAGGTAGGCTCAGGACAGGCCTTATCCACTCACTTCCTGTCTCACTGGGGAAGAGGAAGGTGCTGCCCACTGACCAATGGCCCTGACTCCCAGCCTGGTTACTGACTCGCTTCTCCAGCCGGACCGTGACACCTCTTGGAAGGTGCACAGCGTGGCACACTTACCTCCTCCCTCTCTCCAGGGGAGGCCTTGGGATCTCCCTACTTCACAAGCACCATGTTTTCAAAATGTGACATTTCCAAAGCATCCATCTCCTCTTGGATCGTCTGTGAGTGGTCTCTTACCAGTCACTGTGCCCCAGTTTTGGATGCCTAGTGCTTCAGATCTTTTAGTGGAACTACATTCATGATCGCATTAAGTCTGTGGCTGACATATTTTTTAATTTTTAAATTCCATGAGTCTGTGTTTACGGTGCGAGGATCGTGTTCATTGTGAGGAGTGGGAGGAGACAGCTTCTTTTTCCTTCCCCTCCCCTCCCCTTCCCCTCCATCCCCAGAGACCTTCCCTTTTGCAAAAGATCTCTCTCTCTCTTTCCTGTTCTCTATCTTTTATTTTGCTCTTTAAATTATCTATGCTTTGGGTTTCTCATATAAAAGAAACCATGAGGTATTGAAGCTCGTGCCTCTGATTTGCTTCACTTACCATTATGGCTCAAGGTGCACCCGTCTTCTGACTGATGACTCGAGTTTATCCTTACGGTAGTGCTCTGCTGTATATGAAGATGACATCTTCTTTGTCCACTCGTCCACTGATGGACACACAGGCTGCTTCTGAGATTTAGCTATGACGAGTTGCGCTGTTATGAACACGGTTGTGCACGGATCACTGTAGTATGATATCGTTAACCCTTCTGGGAAGACACCTAGAAGGGCAATAGCTGGGTCAAGTGGAATTTCTAATTTTTAAGGACTCTCCACACTGATTTCCTATGGGTGACTAGTTCACATTCTCACCGTCGCTTTTCAAGGGCTTCTTTTCCCCACGGCCTCACCAGCATTTGTTTTGATTTCTTGATGATTCCCATTCTTTCTGGAGTAAGATGGAATCTCAGTGTTGTTTTAATTTACATTTCTCTAATGGCCAGAGATGGTGAGCATTTTTTTCAAGTATTTATTGACTACCTATTTATTTCAGCTGCCCATTTTTGATTGGCTCTTTTATTTCAGGGTCTAGTTTTTTAGTTCTTTATGTACTATATTCTAGATACTAGTCCTCCACCACTTTCCCATTCTGTTGTCTCTTCACCCTGTTGGTGGTTTCCTCTGCTGAGCTGATGCTTTTCAATGGCTGCGACCCCTTTTTGACTCTTGGTGTGTTTCTTGAGCAGTTGGGTGACGCATTCTCGGCCTGTTCTGCCTATGAAAAAGTCGAGGCTCGGAAAGGCTGAGGGTCTGCTCCACCCATGCCGTACTGCTGCAATGGGACACCATGCTGGGTAATTTGTAAAGAAAATACCATGGACCTTGACTTACAGACTTAAATGGGTCCCCAGGGCTGGTTGGAACGCAGGTTGATTGTAAGTCAGTACAGCTGGGATCTGGATGTTTCCCTGGGTACACCCGATAACAAGAAGTAGGCGAATCTTCCATTAACCTAATCAACACACGTTGTTCGTCTGCTGGGCCAGTGGTAACTTGAGGGCCCACGGTACACTTCCCACACTCACTTCTCCTGGGCAGGGCGTCCAGGGTCAGGACTGTGGCCCCGTGAGGCCTCTGGTGGGTTGCCCACAGTGGAAACAGGAAGGACAGGAGGGCGAGGGGCTGAGCTTGTGTCCTTGCACTGGGACCCATCCCCAGGGCAGAGCCTCCTCACCAGTAACCGCGAAGGTCCCACCTCTGAAAACCACGACCTCGGGGACTCAACCTCCGTCAACAGAGACACTTTGGGGACAGACAGGAGCACAGGGTGCCTACCTGAAGCCCAGGGGCGAGTGCTGGGTGGTGCTGGGCTCACACACCTGGTCCCACCACCGCTGCTGCCTCCTCCTGGGAGCAGAGCTCTGCAAATTCGGAGAAATCACTGTCGACACCTTGGGTCATCCACTGCCATGAGCTCTGGAAGCCGCTTGGCCCAAGGCGAACGCCTGTCTGGCCTCATCTTGCTTGCTGCCCTTCAGCGTGAGAAATGACTGATGAGGAAACACAGAAGCGAAGCGGAGTGACCGTGCTGCTCCGCCCAAAGGCCCCAAGTGACCCCAATTAAGACCAAATTGCGCCCCACTTATAAACACGTAGCCCGCAGCATGGCAAACGGAACTCAACCGCAGCCAACCTGGTCCTTGTTAGCTGTGTAGTGACGGGAACTCTTGCACCATAACCCGCTTAGTTTGGACCAGAACTGTGCTAAACTCAGGCTTTTCTACCCCCAGGAAAGCAAACAACAAAGCCAAGGGAGTGACGCCCACACCTGAGTCTCCGTCTCTCTTCACACCAGTTTGTGATCATCTCCCACACTGCAGCCTTGAGGAGCTTCGGCTCTTCAGCTGGATTTCAGCGGGTCAGCTGGATTTACTGGTGCGTTTCTTTAAATAAAACTAGCCTCAGCTTCCCAAGCAGACTGCAGAATCAATAAAGCAACAAGGGTAAAATTGGAAAGAATTTGAGTAGAAACCTCTGAGGAAAATATGGTTTTCATGCCAGGAAGAAAAGTTGACAGTTCATTAAATTGCATTAGACGATAAACTTATTGGGTGTCAGGTGACCTCTCCCACGAGCCCTGTGAAACACCTGGTGGGGCGTCAGTGACTCTCTGGAAGGCCTCGCAGGGTGCAGGCCGCTCACCTAACAGGATGTCTTTAAGCACTCACCATAACTGCACCCTGAATGGCCTCCACGCCTGGGCTGGGTGTGAGCGACTGTGGCAGTCTGCCCCTAGATCGATCCGCTCTGTGATGAGCCCCCAGTTACCACACGACATAGTCATCCTGTCCCTGCCCCATCTCTCGGGTTCCAGGGTGCAGTTGGAATGTCTTCTGGCTCTGGTTTCTGCTGTCTAGAGCAACTGATTTCAGTGCGCCCTGGCTGGGTCAGTACCATCAGCCCTTTCTTCCATACAGGTTCAGAGCCCGTGGAGAAACAACACACAGAAAGCAGTGACGGTGAAGCAGATCGTCACCCTCAGTGCTGAAGGAAGCCAGGCTGCAGGATGCACACACCAGAGGCACAGAGCCTCCTGCTGCCAGTGTCAGGTGACTTGGCCTCCCAGTCTAGGGCAGCCCTGAGCCCCCCAATCCCCTAGGGGCCACCAAAGAGGGGTGAGATGGCAAGGGTAACTCTCAGGAGGACAAGTGAGGACCTATAGTGCTGACCACACACTGAATTCTGCCCAAATGTACCAGCCAGCTGTTTTGCCAGCTGTCCTGGGAGGATGTGAACAAAGGACAGAAGGCCAGCAAGTGACCCTTTGGAGCTCAACCCACAGAGCCAGGGGCAGCACTGTGGCAGAGAAGCGGTGGCCCTCCTATCTGCAGTGCTCCACAATGGCCCCAATGCCACCATGAATCTGTCTTTGGCTCTTCATGGCCCCGACAGCCTAGGCCGTAGTTTCCCCTACCCCGACCAACCCAAACTCTCTCTCTTTCCCTTACTGTTTTTGATTTGTTTTGTTTTGTTTTCCCATAACCCAGAAAACCACAACCAAATTAGGGGAGGAGAAAGCTGGAATTCTCATTCAAGGAGGGGAAGTTTGTTTTTGTTTTGAAGGTTTTAGACAGTTTATTGAATGATGTAGACTCTAGAGTTCAAACATGAAAAATATTTCTTCTAGTGACTTCCCCTAAAATGCTGTAGTAAATCTCACTTAAAAAGATATTTTTGGTAAAACTTTACAGTCATTTTCAGATATAAAGATATCTAGTACAGTACAGTTGCCCTAGTTTAAAGCCAACTTCATTGTCTCTGTCCCCACACAGGAGATTTATGGTTCACCATGGGACAGAGAGTGATTTTTCTTTTCTTTTTTTCTTTTTCTTTTCCTTTTTTGCTTTTCTTTCTCCTCACCTGGTTTTCCCTTCCTTCTGTGTTTCTGAGCCTTAGAAACAGGTAAGAAAGGGGAAGCAGAATTCTATTTAAGAGGAGTTCTTTGGTCCTTCCTTCCACAGCAGTCAATGGTTGTGTGCAGCAGCAGATCTGACTCTTTCGTGGCACAGAGTGAACTCACAGGACTCATGGGGCAGCATACTGCTGTGGACCTACACTCTGGCATGATTCCCTCTACCCTGAGTTGCCCTGCCCACAGCCTCTTTCAAGGTGGAATACTGTAAAACAGTCTGACTGACATGATCGCCTTAGCCTAACTCAGCGAAGCACTGCCTTACTCTCCACTAACAGAACTGAGCAAGGTGGGTGCTCTAGTCTGGCTGGGCACTTAGGAATCCAGGCTTCCTCATCTACATCTGCATTTCAACCTACCATGGGGGGCTAGGGAAAGTCAGAGTTAGCAAATTTGCCTTCAAAGGAATGGCGTGGAAGTTCCCACTGTCACTCCACTGATTTCCTACTGGCTGATGTTGGACATGTGACTAAACCTAGCTGCAAGGGAGGCTAGGGAAAGGGACCATTTGGCTGGGTGGCTATGACTAGCTGAACCAGGGGAGGTCTTTTCATTATTAGGAGGGAAACAGGAATGGGCTGCCAGGGCAGAAATAAGTGGCCTCTGGCTGGGCCGTGATGGAGCTCATCCTCACACAGTCTCCAAACCACTCTGACCTCAGGCCCTACCACCAACTGTGGGCCACAGTTGGAGATTTCCTTATTTCCTCTCAACTTGCCAATGACCCTCCTTGAAATGACTTCCTGCTCCCATTTTACTCTGCACATGTATGTTTTCAGATGCCACCAGCATGACTGTAAACAAGTTTGCGTGTTCTTGCTTCTCGTGATATGTGCAGTTTGGATCCCATGTAGCTGTGGGCTCCATGGACACCACACAGCAGGAACAGCAGGTCCAGCCGCGTGAAGTGGGAAGGCTGGAAAAGGCTGCCTGGACGACGGAGATGCCTGGGAAGAGAGAATGAGGAGGCACTGGTCCCTGAAAGGATTGTAACAGCAAAAACCAGAGGACAAGAAGCTAGTGCTTCCGTGGAACAGCAGATGGACAGTGTCACTCGAGATGAGGTGGGAGTGGGGGACTTTGTAAAGGTAGATAAGCAAATGGCAGGGCTTTGTGGAGGCAGATTCATCCCGCAGTCAGATGGACGCCGTGGAGAACGTCAGCAGGGAAGGGAGCAACCTGCAGAAGGCAGCCCTGGCCCTGGCAGCCCGAGGCTGGCAAGGCAGGCACTGCCCAGACAGCTGGGATGCGACTGGAGAAACCAAGGGAAAATTACAAGATGCTAATGATCTGCCTTCAAAATCCACACATTCTCTCCGTGACAATGACAATTTTCTCCTGTTTATTTATAGTCCATCTGATTTCCAAGAGGATTTGGGCAGCTTCACAAATCCAGTAAGTACTGCAGTATATGTGAGTCCTCGTTTGAAAAGTTGCACATCTCAGAAATAGTATGTTTCTTCTGTTTTCTGTAACTCGGGCATCATTTTTATCCAAGCACAGTCACACCCAGCTTCCATTGTTCCTGAGGCCCCACCTTCACGTGAACACAAAACCTGCTGGATCTTCCACATCGAGGTCCTGAGGAGCCGGGCACAAGACCCACGCAGCCCGTGCTGCTCCTGGGCCCACCCAGGCCGGCTCCCTGCTCGGCCAAGAAGGCCGTTTCTCTGGAGCTCTGCTTGCCTTCGCCTTCTTCAAATCTGCGGATCTGCAGAGATTCTCAGACTCTTGTCTGCCTGGGAGAATTCCTCTTCTTGCCAGGCCTCCCTCAGATGCCCTTTTTCTCCACCCAGGACCCAAGCTCACCTTTCTGAAAGCTTTGGACACTTACAAATTAATCCAGAAAAGGAGGATCCATCGCTGCACAACGCCTGAGCAGGTGGACACAGTTCGCAAGCTACCTACATGGAAGAAGGAGAAGACTCGTGAATCAATACATCGAACATGGTTCCATCTTGGCAACATGTGGCTTTTTTCAAATGGGAAGAACTTGGGGTGAATGCAGAGCAGCACAGTGTGAGCAAGGAGGCTGTGAAAACTGCAGATGCTTCCCCAAAACAGGACCACGGCTTCATCTACGAGCGAGCTCATGACCAAAGCCAAATGGACACACGAAGTCATATTTCAGCTGCTCCTGACACCTGCAAAGCGAGCACCGCGGTTCACAGGTCGATGGTCTTGCTGCCCTGGGAGGTAAGAAGATTTCTCCCCAGACCCTTGAAAAGCGAATGCTGCGGGATGCTGCCTCACAGTAATGAGCTCTGCCAGACTGTTTTTTATAATAGCATAAGTAAACTCCAGATACAGAAACAAATTGAACAGGCCCTGTCCCCGTGCAACTGGTCCAGTCAGGGACACTGATGAGCAGTAACTGCCACATGCTGGCCAAGTGCCGGCCACCACGGCCGCATGGAATGAAGTTCAAGTCTCCCACAACAACTAAGGGGCCAGCGGGAAGGAGGACGGAGGAGCCCCGCACCCGAGACCGTGGAGTGCCGTGAAAGGGGAAAATGCTCGGCTTGTAACAAGAGAAAAATACAGCCTCATATTTGGAACAGAGGAACCGCGCTGAGAGAGAACAGGTGTGTCGGCTGTCACCTTCTTAGGGCTGCACAGAATGCCAGGATGAGGTGCTCACAACCAGCAGGCGCGGACCCCAGGGCTGGGGGCAGAGTCGCACTTCCTGTTCCCCAGGGCCCTGCCTCACAGCCCAGTCGCTCCCAGGGGCCCTCCAAATGGGAGCCAGGCTCAGCACAGGACTTCTGGGGAGACCAAAATACCCAGGCCACAGCAGTCGCTCTTCCTAGAAAATCAAGCGGTGGGTGATCTTCATATTTTGCCTTCAGCTTTTCTCCATTTTTAATTTTTATGAGGAAAAGTTATTAATATTTAGTGACTGACTTGGGCTGTAACAGAAGAGCCACATAAAAGTAGCTTTTAGTTTTTGCCATGCATGAAGTGTTCCAGAACGAGATGATACGAGGTCTGGGATTTGCTTCAAAGCCATGTAGGGCGGAGGGAGTGAAAGGAGACAGGGCACCAGTGAGGCAGACGCCGGGGTCGCTCACTGTTCCAGCTGGGTGGCCCCCGGGTGCCTGGGGATCCGCGGTGCTGTGCTCTGCTTTACTACTCCTCAGATTCTCTGTGATGAGAGGCAAACAGAAAGGAGAGTGAATTCTGTCCGAACTTCGCTGCTCTTGCTTGCTGATTGTAAAGTGAATAATAACACTCACCTCAGGAAACACCAGAGAGGGCGAGAGGACGAAGACCCGGAAGGCGGCAGGATCCTGCTCTCCTGCCCTCGAGCCCCATCCAGGAGTGTGTGTGTCCCCTTCTAAGACTTAGAAAACTTTCCAAGAAATTTTAGAATTGATTACTAAAACATCTTTTGTAGGAAAAAAGTCAGTGACTACAAGGAACTGGCTGAGTTCACTAAAAACACAGAATACCACTTAAAATTCATTACTGTTTTTAATTAAGTGACTTGACTTAGATATAGGGAATTCTATGAAAATGCCCGGTGTCAGCAAACTCTCACATGGATCTTCTTGCGCCAGCCTTGTGGCCCAATTTTAGAGATGTGTGTGGCACTGGATAACAGGACACAGACAGCACCACAGCCGAGAAGGGCCACGACTCAGAGAGCAAGCTAAGATGATAGGTACCCACATCGGCACTTAAGAAACCAGTTCGACAGTGAGAATGTGAGGTTTACCTGCCGTGATGTGCAGCACCGCATGAATGGACTCAAGCAGACAGGACAGGAGGGTTGGTGACAGGTGGGCAGCAGCAGGGACTGAGCAATGGAGGAGAAAACCCAGGTACTGGAGTGAACCAGTTTGCTCTGGTCAGGGCGAGGCTAAAACCATCAGGCCAGCAGCCCTGGTAAAGGTCTCTGTACTGTCCCGTTTACACCACACCACCGCAGGGCTAGGTTCCAACCTGGGTCAGTCAGAAGAGGTTTTCTTGGGCTGCCCTGTCCTTCCTCGCGGCCAGGACTGTCACAGACTGGGCCGCCCAGGCTGGGCATGTGGGTCTGAGCCTGCACGGGGGCTGCTGGTGTCAGAGGCATGGACATCAAGGCCTGAGGGAAGAGGAGCTGGCAGTGTGGCTCGTGGCTAAAAGCAGCAGAGCCTGGGGGACACACAGAGGACCCATGGGGTGTGGGTGGAGAATGGTAGGGTCCACAGCGGGCGCCAGGCAGTGGAGAGCATTCCCCATAGGCAGCAGGAAGCTACAAAAACGGGCTCAGAAGCACAGGAAAACAACCAGGCAAGGGGAAGACAACACTCTGGAGTTTCTCCTGGAATTCTCCTAGGAGGCTGTGTCATTTTGTGCAGATTACTCACTGCCCCCTCAAAACTTTTCCACACCTGGACATGGTGTAAAACAATCCTGGTAAGTTAGGCCCAGGGACACACACACACCTGGCTGCTCGGAAGATGGAGGCAGGAGGGTCAAGAGTTTGAGGTCAGCCAGGGCAACACAGCAGACCTTGTCTCACAATGCATCAGGAAGTCACTGAGTAAACGGGGAAATCGCTCAGCAATGGTGTTTCTCGGTGGAGAGGCCAGGTGGCCTTGAGTTAGACATTTACATGCTCATTTGCCTTAAGAAGTTGGGGGTCACCCACAACCCACCCCAGGACGGCTGCCTCTGTGCTGGGTAACAATTTCCACACGACCTTTTGAGGAAGGCGGAGCCTGTGGAGCACCGTTTAATGACGGAGGAGATACACGCAGTTTGTTCCACTGATGAAGCCCAGGACTCAGACAGGCTGACCTGGAGCTGAGGAAAATGTGTCCAGTAACGGTGCTGAGGCTTCCGTGCTGTGGGAACGCTGCTTCCTGGGGCAATGTATGCTGGATGACTGGCAAGGTTTCAGGTAGGGGAGCCGGAAAATGCACTTCTGCGTGAGACCTCTCGTCCTTCTGGATGGGAAACCACCTTGATCTCAGCAGGATCTCAGCCAAAGATGGATTATAACTCATCTCCATGGAAGCCAAGCAGCTTCTGCTCCTGCTGGAAAAGTGCCAGAGAGCACGTGCCTGGTGTCTGGTATGTTTGGGGACCGGATGGGCACCTCGAGGTTCGGAGCCGGCACGAGAGGCCTGCACTAGAAACTCTCTCGAACGAGTCGGATTAGCGTTGGTTCCAGCCAAATCCCAGCCTGGTCAACTGCCCCGTGGCACACTGCACGTGGATTACTGTGCGTCCTCGCCATCCGTTCTCCCAGTCAGCAGGCACCGTCCGGCTGTAGCCTCCGTGTGGCAGTCACTGCTGTAGGCGCTGAGCACATAGCACTGGAGGAGAGGCGCAGCCCTGGGCCCTGGAGTTCACATCCTAACAGCGAAGGGTGCAGAACAAATGGGAAGAGCAGGAGCACGGTGCATCTGTACCGCACGGAGACGGCGACTGAGGGTAGAGTGAATGCGGGACATGAGAGGCACGAAGCCAAGGCCCTGGACGGCGGTGGGGAAGCCTGTGGATGGACAGCATGGCTGAGCAGCCTCCAGTTAGGGCCGTGTGGCCGTCACAGTGCAGCACCCTTCCTGTCTTTCTGCCCAGGGCTAACTCGGGATTAGAGCGGCAGGGCCGGGCTGTGCCGTCGGGGTGTGGGGGAGTGATGGACTCCGCTTGGCCAAAGTCGGGAGCGGGCAAGCGACTGTGCTCTTCCGCCGTCGCCGTGGTGATGCCGGACAGCAGCTTTCGCCATGATGTCAAGGAGAGCAGAACTGGACCTGTGCGGGACTCGGTCCAAACTCCTGACGCTCCGGACCTGCTTGCTGCTGCGGCATGACCTGGCCCGTCCTGAGTGACAGGCGACAGTGACAACGAGTAAAGGCCTGGAAGCAGAGTGCAGACCCTGGGAGGATTCGCCAGCCCAGAGGTACTGTCTTTCACGTTCGATGGGTCTTGGGTGCTGTTGTAAGGACTTCGACCATTTCTCTAAATATGATGCTAAGTTCTTCAGCAAATAGTGATACAATCTGACTTAAATTTCTAAAAACACTAGAGCTGGTCTTGCCAGGGTGGCCCAGGAGGAGAGCAGCAGACGCGGCGGCCGTGCAAGGAGGTGGGCCACGTGCAGTTGGCACGAGTGCGCCCGCCCCTCAGCCACGCTGGAAGCCAGGCGTGCGCTCAGCATGAGTGAGGAGAAGGCATGAAATAGCTGGCGAGGACAGCGGGGCAGTGAATGAATTGTGAACATGCAGTAGGGTCGCCAGGCAGCCCTACGGAGAGGCCATGAGCAGTCGGGAGGGTGGACAGACGGACGTATCCACTGACAGCGGCTTCGCCACCTGGTAAGATGGGGAAAGAACAGGCCCACGTGATTAAGGGCCGAGCAAGGGTGGGTGGGGTTGCAATTAGCTATAGAAGTGAGGCTCAGGAGGGAGGAGATAGGCAGAGTCAGTTACGGAGAAAATATGTGAGGGCTGAGAGGTTGTAGAAACAGCAGCTGTGATGCCCGTCCCTCGCACCCGAGCAGGGACTGGACCTTAACCCATGCCCATGCTCACAGCAACCCTGGAAGATGTGCACCATGACTCCAGACTTCTGTCTTGCTCATCCGCTGACCTTATCTGTGGTGATCACAAGGGAAGCCCTGAGAGACTTTCCAAACTCAGTCAGTTATATTTCAATAGTCAGTGGATGTACTCAATTTGATAGCAAGTGTTTTGTGGCTTTGGGAACTCGGAGTAGCTGGGGGCACACTTACTGACCTTAAGCACCAGAGAAACATAAATCCTATTCAAGAGACTTTCAGACAGGAGTTACAGGGACAGGGGTTATACTAACACTCTCTGAAGATTGACTTGCAACTATAAACAAAGTTCAGCATATCCAGAGTCAAACATGAGGAAACAGTTAGCATCCTGCTCTTAGGGCTGGGTTTCCCATTACTGAGACACTGTACCAACACCCATGACTTCAAGGAGGAGAGATTTACTTTGGCTCATGGTTTTAGTCCATGGTTGGTGGGCTCCAAGGCAGAAACTGGACACCAGAGGGGAGGAGAAGCTGCTCACCTCATGGCAGCCAGGAAGCCAGGAGAGAAGGAGGAGCTAGGAGGGAGTCTGCCCCCAGGTCAGCCCCTGAGATCTGCCCCTCGGACCAGGCCCTACCTCCTACAGCACCACAGCTCTGAATGCATGCACTGATGTGCATGGCACCCTTGTGGCTCAACACTTCCAAAAGCCCACCTCTGAGCAGAGAAGCCCCAGGGGACCTCTAGATCTAAACCATAACATACTGCCCCTGGCCCCCAAAAGGCTCATGCCCATCTCATTATGCAAAGGTATTGAGTCCACCTCTAAGAGTCACCAACGTCTTAACAGTTCCAGCATTGCTAAGAAGCCCAAGTCCGAAGTCTCCTCTGAGACTCAAAGCAAGTGCTTAGTGTGAGTGCCTATAAAAATAAAAAAGAAAGTTAAACACCTCAACATACAATGGCACAGAGTAAATATTCCCATTCCAAAAGGAAAAAATACGGGGCTAGCAAGGAATGGGCCAACACATGACTGAAGCCCAGCAGGGCAGACGTTACATCCTACAGCTCCCTGCCCAACACCCAAGGCAGCTGTGGTGACACGTGAGCTGCAGGGCCTTGGGCAGCCCCATCCCTGAGGCACTGCTGTTGCAGCCCACTGCCCTCTCTCGGGCTGGCTCCACTCGCTGCCTGTGCTTTTCCTCAACAGACGTCCGATGTTCCTAGCACCTCTAACTTCCTGAGATCGCCACCACACTTGCCACATCACTCACAGCTTCTCCCAGTGACTTCTGGGGTCACACTTCCTGGACTCCCAGGCCTTCCTTCAAAGTCTGGGTGGAAGCCTCCATGACCCCACAGCTCTCGAATGCTGCATGCTGGTAAAACAAACATCGTGTTGAAGACACTTAGGTCTATTGCCAGCAGGAGCAGTAGCCAGGCTCCTTGGACCATGGCTGCAGAAACCTGTAAGTCCCTGGATAGCAGAACTCAGAGGAGCTCTTCCCTGGGTGGCTCAAAGGAGCAGAAACTTTGGGGCTTTCTTTTCAAAAGAAAGGTTCACAGTTTTGCACCCTTGAGCCTTTGGTGGGCAGGGACTGGCCAGTTCCTGAGACGCCCTCAAGGCATCTTTCTCATTGTCCGGATGCAAAGTACTTGGGTTTTTTAAATGCTAGTTTTTTCAGCAACCCTGTTCTCACTGACTCCAACTTCACAAGTTGGAAACTACAAACCTTTCACATCTTCCAGCTTTACATTTTGCTAGTGATTTTCGCTGTAAATCTAGCTAAAAGCAGCCAGCACTATGCATGCCAGAGCCTGAATGTTAGTCTGCCTTGAGATTGCCTCCATCAGATCAATTAGTCCACTACCTTAAGCTCAGTCTCTCACAAGGTTTCAGGGCACAGGGAAAATGTAGGCAAACTTTTTGCCAGAGTTTAGCACTCATGGCCTCTCATCTAGCTGCCAATAGAGCCTTATTCCCAGCTAAGATCCCGTGAGCCTGGCCTTTACTGCCTGCATTCCTATTAGCATTGTGTTCTTCTGAGCTCCAACTAGAATCATCCATCAGGCTCAACTTAAAGCATGTTGAGCTTCTCTAGCCTGCATCTCCAAACCTTTCCAAGGTCCTCCCACAGATCAGTTCCAAGGGCTTTTAAATTGCATGGTCAGATAGTGTCATGGCAATGGCCCCAACACTCTGATACCAATTTTCTGTATTTGTCAGCTTTCCTGTTTTGGGGACACAATACCCAACACCCACAACCTATAAGAGGAGAGATTTAATTAATTAATTTATTTATTTATTTATTGTTACTGGGGGTTGAACTCAGGTCCTTGTGCTTGCGAGGCAGGCAGCAGAACCACTGAGCTAAATCCCCGGCTGGGAGAGGTTTAATTTGACTCACAGTTCAGGGGATCTGTCCATTGTTGGCTGGTTCCAAGCACAAACAATATGGTGGAAGGGAGTGGCAGAGGAAAACTGCTTGCCTCCTAGAAACCAGGAAGTAGTGAAAGAAGAGAGGAGCTGAGGGAGGAGATCCACTCTGCAAAGGCATGGCCCCAGTCATACACCTCACCTCTAAGAGCACATTTAGCAGTGGATTCATCAGGGGATGAACCTACTGACAAGTGCAGCGCCCATGATCTAATCACCCTCCCACAGCCCCATCCCACACAGGAGGTTTTTGCAGGATGCTCTAGGTCTAGTTCAGTAGGGCCAGGCAACAGAGCAGGGGAACAGCACCAGGGAGGAGAGGGCTTGGGCCCATGGATGGTACCCACAGCCACGTCTCTATGACCACCCTATGACCACCCACACACCTGGAGGTGTGCCTTCCGAACACCTACCTAACTCCCAGCCATCAGGCTGACACCGATCAGCTAAACCACCATAGTGATGCACGAGCAAACTCAGAAAGCAAACCCATGTCCTATGTTTTAAGACACAGACGTGGGTTTCCAAGCTGAGGGTAGAAAGGAGTCTTCCAGGTGTTTGCAGCTGCAGTCTTTCAGCTGGAGGTGAGCTGCGTGGTTGCTGTGGTGCTTGTAGACATGTGGAGTTATTCATGAACAACACGTCACACTGAGGCACCTGTACAAAGGACGGGGCGCAGCTCAGTGGTCGAATGATTGCCTAGCATGTGGAAGCCCTGGGTTCTGTGTCAGTGCCACAGGAAAGGGGTTGATACAAATGTTGCATTGACTTTGGCCAAAGAATGACAGTCTTGTAACCCCACCTTAAATTATGTAGTAAATACCCGATTATATTTGTGATTTTAATTTGAAATCTAAGCTTATGGACTATATATAT